GGACACCTTAGTGTAAACTAGCGTCTAACAGACACCCTGGGGGTGGACGGACGTGGACACCTTAGTGTAAACTAGCGTCTAATAGACACGCCCGGATAAATCCACAAAGAGGAGGGCTGTACGGCACGGAGAAACGCGTGTCTCGGCTGATGACGGGGGTGGAGGAGCGTCACAGATGCGGGCTCAGTGAGACAAGCCAAGCGGGAAAGAGTTCGGCAGTGGGGTGACACTTACAGAAACGTCAAGACGGGGTCAAATGGGAACCGTTACAGGCGGCTGGGTGCAGGGGAGAGGAAACTCAGAGAGAAGCGGGGTCGGGGGGTTATGTGGATATGGGGAGGGGCTCGTGATTCGGGGACCCGGGCGTCGCGGGCTGACGGTGTTCTGTCTCTGGCCCTGGCTGTCCTCTGCGACCCTCGTCGACGGTGCCGTTTTGTGGTCCCAGTGTGAGGTGTCACTCACGGAGGAAGAAACACCCACTGTGTACGAAGAGGGGGCCCGCGGTGGGCCTTGGGGAGAGGGCTGGTGAGGGGGCCACCCACAGGGACACGTGGCGCCTTGGGGACCCCGCAGTCCAGCTGAGCACCAGGTCCGGGACACCCAGTGACACCCACGACCAGAAACACAGTGACAACAGCCACACCTGCCTTCCATGCACTTTAATGAGACACAGCAACACGGAGGGGATGAGCGGCCCGTCCACCCCCTGCTACCTGGGCAGGTGAGGGCCAGAGGGTCCAGGAGCCGAGGGGGGCTCAGGATGGAGAGGGGACTCAGGGTGGGGAGGGTCCTCGGGATGGGGAGGGGCTCTGGGTGACAGCACGTGATGGGGCAGGGGCAGGCCCCCCAGGCAGGAAGCTGCAGTGTGGGGGACAGGCGGGGCCGGCAGCCTGGTGGCTCTGGCTCAGGGCTCCGTGGGGACATAGCGGCGGATCCAGTCCGAGTAGTGGGTGACGCGGGTGTAGATGCCTGGCCGGTTGGGCTGAGCGCAGCCATCACCCCAGCTGACCACACCTGCCTGCATCCAGGTGCCGTTCACCTTGCAGACCAGGGGCCCTCCGGAGTCGCCCTGGGGGAGGGGAGGGTCAGCGCTGGCTGCAGGGGGGCATGTGGGGTCCCACCTGGCAGGAGTCGTGCCCTTCGTTCCCAGTACACAGCATGTCATCGTGGACGATACGGATGTTGTCCCCAGTGTACATGCCGCTGTGGTACTCAGTGTCACAAAGGCTATTTTCCACGATGGGGACCTCCACCTCCTTCAGGGGGAATGGTGGCAATTGTACTGAGAAGAGAGAAAAAAGGATGGAGGGGGTGGGGCCGGGGTCCACAGCACCAGGATGAACTCGGCCAGCCTGCCATCTGGTGCAAGGGACGAAGGGCTGGAGGGACCCAGAAAGGGGTGGTTACAGCAGACTTGTCTGCTGGGCATCTCCACCATGCCACGGCCTCCAGTCCAGGAACACGGGTAGTGGGCACCACGGACCTGGCCCCACCCTCATGAGGCTCATGCTGGGGAGGACCCCAGGGTTTTGAGAAGATCCCCATGGAGGTGAGGTGCAGAGCTGAAGTCACTGTCCTTCTGAGGCTTGGCCAACCCCACCCCAGTGGGCACTGTGGGCCCCAGGTTCAGCCCTGGTTTGGCCAGCCCAACCCAGCCCCTGCCCAGGACAGCGTCCCCTCTGTGCATGGGGGGTTGGGCAGGAAGCCGCATCCCACCGGCCCTTCCAGTGACCACACACTCCATGTGCCAGCACTCAGGGGACACCCTTAGGGCACATGTCAAGCAAAGCATCTGCCCTTACTTGTGGAAGGAATGAGACAGGACCTTTCACAAGAGGTGAGGATGATGTGCTGGGGGGCTCCAGCCCACCCTAGCACCTCCCTGACCCCTGTCCGTGGACACAGGGGTGCAGTGAGTCAGCTGCCCACAGGGGCCCAGGTAGCAGGGGGGGTGGACGGACCGCTCATCCCCTCCCCGTTGCTGTGTCTCATTAAAATGCGTGGAAAGCAGGTGGGGCCGTTGTCACTGTGTTTCTGGTCGTCGGTGTCCCTGCGTGTCCAGGGCGTGGTGCTCAGCACCATCTCGCCTTCCTGGTTGATAACTAAGACCCGTGGCACATCTCAGCTCACCCTCCTCCTATGCAGTCCATGAAACAGGAAGCGCATGGGGCCCAGTTCGTGCGCAGAGAAAGCGAGGCTCAGAGGCACACCAGCTGGGACACCTGCTCCCGGCACACAGGCCTCCCTGGGCTCCCCTCCCTTCCCAGGGTCTCCCACTCCCTGAGCTGGCCCATCCAAAAGGGGTACCCTGGGGCTGCGGACGAGGGTGCCACCGGATCTCGGGCCTCTGCCACCCTTGACACTCACCGTTGTTACCCACATCGCCCCAGCTGGTCACCCAGCACAGCGTCCCCAAAGGGAAGGTCTCGGAGGCAGGGGGCAAGGTGACCAGCTGCACGTGGTCGGAGATGTTCACGGGGTCCTCGAGCTCCAGCAAGGCGATGTCAGCGCCCTTCTGCACGGAGTAGAAGTTGGGGTGCACGATGACCCTGCTGACAGGCAGCAGCCAGTCATGGTAGTACAGATGCTGCTCACGCAGCTGCACCCTGAGTGTTCCGGGGTCTGTGAAGTCCCTGGGGAGAAGAGAGGCCTGCTCAGCAGTCTGGTCAGCCTGGGTGCAGCCCTTCCCTGCGCCCCACCGCCCAGCCTCCCAGGTACTCACGGTCCCAGGCAGCGCACTGTGGTCAGCACCCACTGGGGGTGCACGAGGGAGCCCCCGCAAAAGTACATCCAGTACTCGACGTGTACCCGCAGGCTTACCTGCCACGGCCACCTGCTCCTGGGGGCCTCCTTGCCCCGCACGATGTCCGCTCGCTCCAGAACCATGGCTGGGGCAGTGGAGAGGGTGGCATCGGGGTGAGGACCAGCTCCAGACCTGGTGCAGCCATCCCCTGGCCTGCACAGTCCTGGGTGTCACTGACCACCCCACTCCCCTGGGGTGTCAGGATGAGGGGCAAAGACAGGGAGAGCTGGGGTCAAAACTCACTAGGGGCAGCGCCAGCACCAGCGGGGTCTGCATCTGGAGAAGCCAGGAGGGACTGGTGAGCCTGGCTAGGGGTCTGCAGAGAGCAGGCTCAGAGCTCCCTATCCAGACGTCGGGGTCTCTGAAGGTGGGGACCTACCCCGGCCAGTCTCTGCTGCTGTCTGCCCAGCCGCTCTCCCCTCTCCATTTATCCTTCCAGGTGGGATGGGGGAAGAGGGGCGCGCCTCCTCCTGTCCTGACGAAGGAGTCAGAGAAGGGGCCCTGTCCACTGGGCCAGATGGGGGCCTGCTCCCGTTAGGCCCAGCAGCAGCCATGTCTTGGGGTTATCTGTGAGCCAGAGGGTGGAGCCTGTTATCTCGGGATCAGAGGCCCCATCAGCAGGGGAAGGGAGAGGAGAGGGCAGAAGCAGCTAGCTCCCTACCTGGGACCCCACCCCATCTCAGGCCCGCAGGCTCCTCTTCGTCCCCTGATGGTTATTGTCCCTCCCGTCCATCCACCCAACCCCTGTCTCCCCCTTGGGCCTGCTGGCCACCAGGCCTCCAGCTCCCTCCCTGCCCTGCTCACCCCCTCTGAGCAGGGAGCTCCCCAGGATGGGCAGGGTCCCTCCCGCAGGGGACTTCTGCCCCTGACACATTCACGCAGCAAACTCTCCCACCTCTTGGGTCGGCCAAGCAGCCAGCCAGCAGAGATGAGCCTGGAGGCTCACAGATGGTCTGAGTGCGGGCAGGGACAGGCCAGTTACAGTCCCAGCATTCAGGCCCACATAGGGTCCACCTGCCTGCAAGCCTAGAAGTCAGGCAGCTTCCCGGACCCCCATCCTCCAAGTGATGCTGTGATTGGCTGAGGCCTAGGAGGCGATGGCTAGGATTGGTTCATACTAGACCAATCAGGGCCCAGTTCTGAGGATGCCCCTCCCTAACAACCTGGCTTTCACCTGGAGGGAATAAGGGCTGGGTCCTTCTTCACCTAGAAGGGTGACGGAGGGGGCAGTGAGAGGTGGCAACACAGGGAGGAAAGATGCTTGAGGATGGGAAGGACCTGTATCCCACATGTGGATCCTGCTGGGAAGACCCTGTCGGACAAATATCAACACCTAAGTACACTCTTAACTCTTGAAATTTAATAACAAAAATTGAACTCCCCTTATATAAAATTAGTAACAACCAAAAAATAGAGTTCATTGAGGAAATATAAATGGCCATAATATAAAAGACGTAAGGAAGATATAGTAAGGATAATAAACCCATTGCCATCGAGTTAATCCTGACTCATAGTGACCCTATAGGACAGAGTAGAACTACCCCGTAGGGTTTCCAAGGAGTGGCTGGTGGATTCAAACTGCCGACCTTTGGGTTAGCAGCCTGAGCTCTTAACCACTGCACTACCAGGGCTCCGTAAGGATAATAATAAATATATAATAAGGAAAGTGTAAAATGAGCCAGGCAGTAGTTTTTGGGGTTCAAATATACAAAGGTTCTGAGACATAATACACCTCTGCAAGGATCTGGGGGCCCCTGGACTTGGGACGAGATGCTATGGGCAGACGGTGTCCATCAGCCAGAGGGACTCATCCTGTAAAACCATCTGGGTCTTGAGCTTTCTTTGTTTGGAAGGTTTTTGACTACAGATTTAATTTTAAAAACAGACATAGCTGAGACCAGAGGAACTAGACGGTGCCTGGCTACCACAATTATCACCCTGACAGGGAACACAACAGAGAGTCCCTGACAGAGCAGGAGAAAAGTGGGATGCAGAACTCAAATTCTAGTAAAAAGACCATACTTAATAGTTTGATTGAGACTGGAGGGACCCTGGAAAACGTGGCCCCCGGGCTCCCCATTAGCCCAAAACTAAAACCATTCCCGAGGCCAACTCTTCAGACAAAGATTAGACTGGACTGTGGGACATAAAATGATACTCGTGAAGAGTTGTGCTTCTAAGCTCAAGTAGATACATGAGACTAAATGGGCAGCTCCTGTCCAGAGGCGAGATGAGAATTCAGAGAGGGTCAGGAGCTGGTTGAATGGACATGGGAAATCCGGGGTGGAAAGGAAGAGTGTGCTGTCACAGTACAGGGAGAGCAAGTAGGATCACAAAACAATGTATGTCTAAATTTTTGTATGACAGACTAATTTGAATTATAAACTTTCACTTAAAGCACAACAATTTTTTTTAAAAGTTGTTTTAAAAAGACATCTTAAATAAGTCAAAAGGATATACTGTGCTACTTATGGCCAACTATTAGAAGAGGTCCCAGAGAGTGGAGTGTTTAAGGTGTTTGAGTATTGAAATAATAGAGCATATATTTATTCTATAGCACACTCTACTGTTAAATGTGAGAAGAGTTTAATTATACGGAAACTTGGAGACATTAAAAAAGCTTTATGTCTATGGACTATCCGGGTATATTGAGTTAATATTTTCAATATTCTATTATTTGACTAAGTCATTCTAAAAATTACTTTAAGTGCAAGATGAGAATAAATACTGTAAACTGATTGCAATTTATAGAATTGCAATCAATAACAATAAAGCATAATGGCCTCATAAGCAGCACCTCTTGAATTTTGTTTATAAGGGAAAACAAAGGAAGATCCAAACACAGGGACAGGAAAGTTATGGATACATACGTTCATCAGAGACGCTGGGATGGGCTGAGGAACTCAGCAGAAGGACTATATCATAAGGTTCATTTGAAAAGTGACATGTTTACCAACTTAAGGATTTACTTCTAGATATGGAACTTACTCTATAACATCCAAACTATCCCAGCTATATGTAATTAGATGACATCATTGAAAATGTAATTTTTTTATTCACAGAATTTATTGTAGACAATAGTATTTTTTTTCAAAAGTTAGATGAAATCTGTTCTCAAATTTTAGTACATTCACAGCAGTTTACTCCATATATATATTTTTTAATTTTCTAAAATAAACTCATTCTTTTCACTAAAAATAATAGTAATATTTGTATTTTTGTTTATTATCCAAATCAATTAATCTCACCTAAGTTAAGGAATGAAGATACCAAGGCTAAAGTAGAAATGTTTGACCATCTGTCTCAAAATTCCTGTGTAAAACTGTTTTCCCTTTTTTTGAGTGACATGGCCTGTGACTCTTAGTACCAAAAGACTTATATTTATTGTCACGTGGAATTTAGGAGTAATGGAAAGCATTTCCAAGGTGACATAAAATCATGGCAATACATCCCACACTACTTGTTACATCTATGGTTAAAAAGTCTTTTTGTGAGACTATCTGAAAATAGTTTACAGATTTGAGAAATGAGATTTGGAGTAAGCTCTGATGTTGAATCTATATATATATAAAATAAATTTGGTCTGATATTATTGCAATTATATGTATAAATAAAAAAATTTAACTGGTGGGGGGAAAAAACAGACATAGGACCACTCAGTTTCTCTATTTCTTCTTGAGTGTTTTCTGGCAGCTTGTATCTTTCAAGGGAGAAGTTCAATTCATCGAAGCAGTCAAATTTATGGGTATGGAATTGTTCATAATATTCTTTTATTATACTTTTAATGTCCCTGGGGTCTGTATGATGTCTCCTCTTTGATTCCTGATATGGGTGATCTGTGTCTCCTCTCTGGCATTCTCCATCCCTCTGGCTAACAGTAGTCAATTCTCCTGGTCTTTTTCAAGAACTAGCTTTTGGTGTCCTTGATTTTCCTGTAGTCCTTTGTCTGTAGTCAATGCCATTGATTTCTGCTCCTATCTTGATCTTCTCCTTCCTTCTGCTTGCTTCACATTCAGTTCTCTCTTCTTTTCTCTGTTTCTCGAAGCAACAAGAGCTCACATCTTATCTCTCCTCTGCGTCTCCTTAGATTTCAGGACAGCTGGTTGCCCTGTGACCTCAAGTCTCTGAGGGCTCAAGAAAGTCATGAGCCTGCAGTTTGTCTTGTGTGTGTGTGTGTGTGTGTGTGTGTGTGTGTGTGCGTGTGTGTGTGAGAGAGAGAGAGAGAGAGAGAGAGAGAGATGGTGGGAGTGAGACCCTTTCCAGGTCTCTGCTCCCCTGGGCAGCAATGATATCATGACTTCATTCTCTGCATGCTCAGTGACTCCATTCTAGTCCTGAAAGGGGAACCCTCAGCATCTCAGGAGTATGGGCCTGAATTCCCCCAACCTTCCACACTCTCTGCCCCCCTGCAGTCCCCTCACATCTGGTGGTGTATCGTACCCAGGACTGTATCCACTTATGGAGACAGCCACATGGGGCCTGGGGGAGCATGTTTGTGAGGGTCTCAGCCTGTCCCCATCTGGTGTCATGGCCCTGCTGGTCCCTGGGGACACTGGTGAGGGGGCTCAGAAAAAGGCAAACAGCCTCGATCCAGCTCTGATGATGATCCAGGGGGAACAGGGCTGTACCCTACTGTGGAAGGCCTGCAGTGGAGAGGAGGAGCAGGCAGAGGGGGTGGCCAGTGCTGCCCTACCCACCCCTCCTCCCACTTTCTACCTGCTCAGCCCTGGGCATCACAGACCCCCCGCCCCAACTGTTCATAGAGTTCCCTGCATAAGGACCACCCCTCTGAGCCACTAGCCTTGATGTCTCTGACCAGGAGGACCCCTGCCCCAGATGGACAGAGAGGGGAGTGTGGTCTGGAAGACATGAGATGAAAGGCTCAAGGGTCTAGGGAACAAGCCCCCCACTGTCAAGGGACCATCTCGGAGGTGGAAATGAAGAGCCCTATCAACAGGGCCCCTTGGGCTCGGCAGGCTCTCCCATGCCATCAGGGACAGTGAGCACCAAGGGCAGGGCCCAGCTCTAGCAGAGTGCTTGGCGCTGAGTGTCCCAGAGGTCCTGGACCCAAGCATCCTCGCGG